CCCCCTTCCTCGCCCCCCCGGCCTCCGCCGCCTGCACAAATCCCCCCGCGCCCAACAACTCGCGCCCGTCCCGCGCCGGCGGGCCTGGCCCGTCCGCCCGCTCCCCTAGTTCCTCCGGCGGACTAAAGTTGCCACGAGCCGCTTTGCCCGTTCCTCTGGCGGCGAAGGAGGCGGGGTGGGAGACGGGGTGGGTGAAGCGGCCGCGGCCCACCGGTGGCAGCGGAGGTACTACTTTGCGGATCCCGCCGAAGTCACTCGGCGAGTTTATTTTCCCAGGCCTGGTTATTTCTGTTTGTTATTTTACCGAGGGAGAAAACAAAACAGTCGTCCGGAGGGGAAGCAGGCGGCGGGATGGGCCCGGGGACCGGACGCCGCTGTCCGCGGCCTGCCGGGGAAGACGGGTTCTGCTCCGGCCCACTCGGCCCCTGCCCGCCGCTCTCCGGACTGTGAGTTGGGAGGCTCGGGAGCGAGCGGCCCATCTCCTCCCCTGCTCTCGTCCCGTGTCACCGGCGGCCGGAGCCGGGCTTCGCGCTTCCCTGCCCGCCGCCGTCCGCTCAGCCCCGCGCCGCTCCCGCTCGGACGCCGCTTCCCTTGCGCGGCCGCCGGAGCCACGCGGGAGGCGTCGGGCTCCGTCCGCCTCCTTCGGGCTGCCGGGCTGTTTGGGCCGGGGGAGCGCAGGCCGCGCGCCAGGCGTACAAAATAAATACTGATATTGGTAGCCCATGAAATGGACACTGCGGGTTTCCTGCCGGCCCGGCCCGTGGGCCAGGCCACGGCGTCTGGGTTCCGCGGGCTTTAATTTTGCTGGGGGAAGGGACAGGGCGGGCGGCTGCGGGCCGGGTGCTCCCGAGGCAGGGGAAGCGGTCTGGTACTGCCGCTTTCCGCAAGTACACGCGGTGGTATAGACTCGGGCTTACGGCTTTGCCGGAACGAGAGAGTTGGGTATTAATCGTCCACAGCATATCGTTTCTTACTGTCAGCACGGGAACAAAAAAAAATCAACCGGAAAACAAAAGTGCAGTACATCGCGCGGCTTTGTTACTCGGAAAGGAGAAGGGGAAATGTAATGGACAGAGAGCGTGCTGATCGCGTTCAGACCAAAGTTGTGGCAAACGTCTAGCACCGCGTTAAGCTGCCTCACATTTGTGCTGAAGGAAAAGATGCTCCGTAGAAACAATACGTGCAGCTCAACCCCAGCTAAAACAATTTATCCCAAGGAAATTCAGGTTAGAGCACAATGTAGTGAATGTGGTTGTGTGCAGATGTGCGTTTTATATGTGTTTGTGTATGTGTGTGTGAGTGAGGGCGGGAGGAAAAGTGAGTGTGAGAAAGAGTAAATAACGAGAACAAGTAAAATGGACTGGTAATAAACAATTGCAATTGGGAATGGCATGAACTCTGTGCATTGGATTAACCTCGAATGACCTTACCACAATTGTATTTATTTAACCAATTTCATAACAGGTTGCTACTGACACACACGCACACGCAAGTTAATGATCAACAACCACTCTTTTTGCCTTTGTTTGTTGTTTGGTTTTGGATTTTTTTTAAAGCAATTCAGGCTGTGGGTTTTTTAAATCATGAGAATTTATAGTTATTTTGTTTCTCAACACTGAAGTCAATGTATGGGATTTCTTAAAGAAGAGTCCAATGTGGAGGATATTACATGACTTTACCGTGGCAAGGGGTAAGAGGAAAGGTAAGACTCCTGCATATTATTATGATTATGATGATCATTAACTAATATGTGTCATTATGGTGTACTAGGATTCCATTAGGGTGGCTGGGCCCAGTGCGTTTTCCTACTCGGTCTAGCATGTAATGATTCGGTGTAACCAGATTCTTGAGAAAGGACAGGTTACGTAAACATTTACTGATGTGGAGTAACTATACTATTTGTACTCTGATATGCAGGAAGGAAAGTGTTGATTAACACAGAAGAAAAAAAAAGCGAAATTAGCTGATTGCATGCTCATAAGTGCAAGCTGTCATTGAACTGCTTTTAAAATAGACACAGCTGGGTGTTTGTGTTGAAAAATTTCTTGTGTTTTTGCTAATACTGAAATAAGCATGATTTTGTATACCAAACATTTTCAGATCATTAAAATTTGTAATCTGTGCTGGTTTTAAACACAAAGAAAAGAAACAGATTCATTTCGTTGTAAAATTTGCTGATATTATATTAACTCAATCAGGTCTGTACAAATGGTGTATTGTGCCTTATCAAATCTCTTTGATCCATTTAATACACAAAGTGCCAAACGTGTGTATTGTTTGTTAACATTGAACATTTTATTCAAATCCCAGCTATGTAACAAACTGGAGGAGTTCTTGTTTAATGTAGCACTGACATTGCCTGTTGAAATTTTAATGCCTTGAGGTGTTTCTTAGGTCAAAGCTGAGTTTTCTTTGCGTTGTAATCAGGGATGAAAATGTAGCAGGGAAGAAAATAGAAGTTTTATCTTTTTTTTTGCATTTCTGAGCAAAAGGCTAACACCAAAAGAAGCACATTTTAAAAACATTTGATGATGTAGATTTAACATTCGGTCATTTGTCATGGGTACAGGATAAAACTCTGTGCACAAACTTAGGATTTATATATTTTTTTAATGCCATGGATATACAGTTCTACCAAAAAAGGAAATGTTTTGTCCAATATGTAGTACATATCTTTCTAAGTCCATGAAGATTAATTCATTGTTTACAGAAAAGAAAAGGATATGTAGGAGAAGCCATGTCAGTTATAATTTCTGCTGGACTTTAACTTTCAAGTCCTTTTTTTTTTTTTTTTTTTTTTCCCCCTTCGTCAGAAAATGCAGCATTTATAAAACTGGAGGTATTTTCTTTGGAAATGCGGGAGTTTTGCGCTAACGCCAGTTCCTTCCTTCCTGAGGTCTGCCCTGAACACGACTCCACTTCAGTTGTACCTTTGTGCGTCGGGGCACGGCATGAGCGGCAGGTTTGACCGCTCAACTCTGGCTAAACTCGAATTCTCTTAAGGAAGTCCCTCAGGCAGCATTTTCTAACAGAGAAGGTTTTTTGAGGATTGTCTGGAAAAGAAGCTTGTGTGTGGAATGGAGGCGCATGACCCCAGCCCTGCGAAACACGGGTGGGTGTGCAAAGGGGAGCCGGCTTTCTACAGTGTGTGGATACTGCCTGCCTCACCTGCATGCTCGTCGACGCTGCAGATCCACCGAACTGAGTGGCGGGGATGGACTGAGAGTATCCAACTCCGGGGTCAGGATGGGGGTGAATAGCTGAGCTAAAATGTCCTGGCTGAAGTGCCATTCAACAGTGATCTCTGTACAGCTCTTGGGTATAACTCGTAGGGATAGTGTTTTCAGTTACACACTTTTCTCTCCCCATCCTTTTTTTCTAAATTTTTTTTTTTTTAAATTTTATTTTGTTTTTAAAGTAAAGGCCGAAGGAAGAACAGACCCTCTCCATTGTACATTTAATGGATGTAGCATACTTCCCTTGCACCACCCCCYGCCCCAGCTTCAGCCTTCAATTCCCCTTCACACGGGTATAGTGGCTCTGTACTCTCAGGCTCTTTCAAGGCGGTTAAGCTGCTAAAATGTACTGACAGCTTAAGAAATGAATGAGGTTTTTTTTCAGCCATGAAGAAAGGGTATTTAATAACCACGCTTCGATGGCATCATGCTTCCATGAAACGCGTCTGGACACTTTGGTTTAACAATCAGTAATATCACATTTGGTACAGTAAATGCCTCAACGTACGCTTATATAATTCTATTCCCCCTTGACTATAAGCTTGCCTCATTTATTCCAGGTTACCTGGGCTAGTAAGGTAAGGACTGCTCAGCAGACACTGATACCCTGCTGCTAAGGCAAGGCGAATGTGGAGGGAGCAGTGCCCTAACAAAGAGAAAGAGGTAGTCAAACATTTTGAAGAGGGGTGAATGAGACAGAAGGTGGACTGATGAATGGAGGCAAAGAGGGAGAGGAAGAAACATTCAATGGCCCAGAGTTCTCTCCGCATTAGTAGATTTACGTTTAGGTGTCCGCCTCTAGCTAACTTCCAGTTAATCCTCAACAGCTTCTAGTGATTAGAAGTTAGTCTGTTTAGCATGCTGTATCCTTTTTTCCATGGGTTTTAGTTACAAGTTATACGATTAGGATTGCGAGAACAGTAGTGAACTAAACTTCCCAGTAAGAGGTCTTCACACCAGGGAAGTGTTACTTTGCTGCAGCAGCCCTGCCTCGTCAGTCATTAGGAAGCTGCAGGTTGTCAGAGGCTTCTCTTGCGCGCACACAAGCGCAGACACACATGCACACACACACAAAACCACAGCACTAAAACTAAATTAAGAAGCCGATGATTAAGACAAGCGTCTACGAGGCCTGTCATTTCAGCATCCTTCCATCATAACATTGTGGCACCGAGAAATTTGCTTGAAAACCCTGGAAAAAATGTCTATGGGAGAGCCTCGTGTTTGAGGCTGTTAATATCAAATATAGACTGGGAACTGCCGCAGATGCAAGATAGTATTCCACASAGGCAAGGGGAACTGCAGAGACCTTGGGGCTATCCGCGCACTTCTGAAACTCTGGTAAGTA